AGTTGTATTGATCCAGAGATATTTACAATGACCCCGGGTGTACATATTTATACCCATGGGAAGATACTAGTCCTTGTAGGACAAAACTTTCCTACAGATAAAAGAAAAAAGTCTTTATTGGACACTAAACACACTTTCCTAAAGATAAAGGAAATTAACAAACTATTTCTAATTAATAGATACAATTGCCTTCTTCGGACTCAATCCGCACGTGGCAATCCTCATGAAGCACGTCAACTCAATCTGACAATGGTTCCAATCTCACCTTGCCAGAATCGGCTACATCGGCTTACCTTGTCCGATTCGGTATCTGCCGATGCAGTCCCGAAGCCGATTTATACTCTGTTTCTATTATTGATTTCCTTCCAAATCCGCTTCGGCCTTAACTCCAAATCTGATGCACGATTTACCAAATTTGGTCGTTAACATCTATATACGATTTACATGTTCTATATTTAAATAAACGATATTGCACCATGAGTTTTGTGTGTTTTCGTTTACAGAGATACTTGCTTGGGTGAAGGAAAAGAGACCAAGCGCAAGAAATATATGGATGATGAAAGAAGTTGATTGGGGATAAAACCAAGACCTTCCCCAAGTCTACTCCAACATTACTATGTCAAAATTCCTACCGAGCTGTCTGGAATCTTCAAAACAAGCCTTGTACCTCATCCAATTCGAGTCTGATTTGTGCCATGGTTCTTTTAGTTGTGTCGTTGCTAAGCCCATTGGGGTGTACGTTCTAGGGCAACCATAGGATATCCCTTATCAAATTTATTCAGTATCTGTCATAATTTCGAGTCGGCTTTTGCTTAGATTATTTCTACCATTATTGCAGTTTCGCCGCTAGTTCGGTTTGTGAAACTCCAAATTCGAGTACTGAATCATTTATATGAAATTGAGTTGCAATCTACCTTGTTCTTGCTTGTGTTCTTCGATTTGCATACATAGGGATTAGCCTTCTCGGCAAGGTCAATTGGGCAGCGCATGGTTGATAACCAAAGGAGATGTGGTGCTGCGATTGCAAGGTTCAAATCGTGTTGATCGGAAGTCGGATCGTGTGTGTCAAGATTCCACCAAATCGAGAGTTATCAGTACCTATCGGAAGATCGGGACCTAGTTCCTCATCACACACACAATGTGGATGGAATATTGAAATAAGTTTTTTTTAAGAAGAATTGTGTAGGTGATATGGCTACGATATATAAGACACCTGAATTGAGTTTAGAGTTTTATTATTCCGGCTCTAATGTTAGCCGAGAACACAACATCCATATGATCTTATTCCATTTCCTCAATTCCATGCCAATTGGGCCAACCATTATATATGAATCATCAAACCTCAATTATAGATTCTCTTCTTAACTCCAACACCTCTCTAAAAATACCAGGTCTCTTCTTCAAGGTTTAAATTACCCATCACCTTCTCTTCCTGAACCCTAGCTACGCACTTTTAGTAATGATTAAGGTGCACGGGCGGTCCTTAAACTTATAGCGGTGTATCATCTAGATCCTTAAACTCTCAAAATGCATATCCAAGTCCCAGAACTTGTCATAGTGTGTCATCTAGGTCCGAAATCACCACAGCCCCTTCAGGATCCTATGTGGCGCTGATATGGCATGTCCCACGGATATGACGTGGCATAATTTTGACTGACAAATGGGACCGTTTTAAAAATTTTCTTTTTCCTTTTTTTCTTCTCTTGTATTTTCCTTTCTTCTCCTTTCTCTGTGACCCGAGCAGAAGAAAGGAAAAAAAAAAGAAGAATGAGAAGAAAACGGAAAAGAAAAGGAAAAGAAGAAAAAAAAAAGGACACGTCATGTCCATGTGGCAGGTTACATCAGCGCCACATAGGATTCAAGAGGGGATGTGTCGATTTGGGACCTAGATGATACGCTTTGATAAGTTCTAGGTCCTACATATGCATTTTGAGAGTTTGGAGATATAGATGACACACTGCTACAAGTTTAAGGATTGTCCGTACACTTTACTCTTTAGTAATTATGTCATCTAATACTTAAAGAGGGAGTCGCCCTTCTTCCTCCCTCCAACACTTTATCCTAAAAACTTCTCTCTTCCCATAAAAATATCTATCCTGAAAAACCGATTTCTTAAAAAAAGACCATGGTATAATAAACCGAACAGCTCACCCTATCCAAATCCTTCCACGAAATTTAATAAAAATAATGGCTTATAATTAACTAGTATATTAAAAAATAAAGGTAGTAATCATCAAGCTTAGCTTCCTTTCTTATCTCCAGCACATCTATAAATAATGACAGGAGGACGGAGGATCTGATAATAACGGTTAGCCCTTAATTTATTGTGTGGCCACGATGGCATACGAACTTCTATTTTTTCCTGATAAATATAAAATCGCGAAAATACTTAGTGTCGGACGTCTGCCGTAAGATGAAAAATTGGATGAGAAAACTACTACTTACATCCCTGTCTACCACACATCGGTACACACTATATGATTTTCAAAATATTTTTTCTTCTGAACTACGTATCCAATCTATGATATGATCACACTATTATATTTGTTATAATTAAATCTTTACAACAAGATATCACATCGTTAAATTCCGATAAAGGAAAAAATATATGTTTCAATCCGTTAAATTTAATGTTTCAGACGTGATAGCAATATATTTCAACATGTGTCTTCATTATGTTTCATAAAAAAATTTAAATGTTTCAATAACTGAATTTTGTGTTTCACCACGTATAACTCAATGTTTCGCTAATGACCGAAAAAGTGTGGGACGCTCATGTCCCTACTCTCTCTCTCCTGCCATTCTATTAGCTCTCTCACCATGCATGCATGTGTTAGTAACCTTAAAAATATTTTTTCTTGTAAACTACTTATCCAATGAATGATTCGATCACACCGTTGAATTCCTTATAATTAAATTTTTACAACAAGATATCACATGATTATTGGTATTTCTTAATGACATTACTAGAAATATAATTCCCAGCAATGGCGCAGAAATACTTCTGGTATATTATGGTTACAGAATTCATCCGCAAGCGCACGGATATACTATTGTAGCATTTCACCTGAGAGTATTCCAAAGGTATCGTATTTATCTTATCCCGTAGGAAGATCATGTAGGGAAAACTCAACTAATAATTTATATATTACTTGTGATAATCATATTCTAAGAAGGGGTTAAGATAATCCAAGAGTAGAATGACACACAAGCATTTAACTACTCATCCTCATAATATATTATCTAAGCTAAGTGGAAAGAAAAGAGAAAGAGAATCTATTCCTATACTTATAATATACATAGTATACATACATTCTAGCTAACTGACATACTAGCTAATACCCCCTATCCGATGCCCTCCTGGTACTTCGAGAAGCCACCCCTGACTACCGAGTTCTTTACGACAGCCCGTCATGACCCATACAATCGGGGCTAAATACGGAGGAGTACCCTCCCTAGGAAATTAACTTAGGATTATATATAGGCGCGGAGGAATACCCGTACTGAGCTGTCACCATCAGCGGCCCACCTCTCATCCGCAATATATAACCCCAAATAATGATATCCCGTAATCTAGACACCACGTCTAAACTACCAGATACAACTCTAATATCATCGTCATGACATAGAATAATTGCATAAGCAAACATTATACCCGCACCAAAGCTTCACCCAGATAAGCTAGCCGTATATTCAGTATAACAAGAACATAATGTAAAGTAGGTACTCATATACTCGGAGAGTATTTCAATACCATAAATGCATGTAGAAGAGTATTCTAATAAAAGTACAAAGCTTACAAAAGAGGAAAGAAAAGCTGCTAGAGCCATACCCGAACTCTTCCGAAGGCTTCCGGACTCCTGACTCCTATTCTAATTCTATTCCACCAGCTAGATACTACTAAACTAAACTTGAGAGAAATGAGAGAGCTATTGTTTGAGGTGTGTGAGTGAAGTGAGAATGGCAACTCCTTTTATAGCCTCCCAATGACGGTTGTGGCGGTTGGAATGGTCGAAAATGCCCTCCAACCGTCATTGGGGGCTAATCCACACCGTCTAGGCAAAGCCCTGGATCAGATGGCGCTAAGGAGGGTTCGGCCGAACCTGGGGCCGGCCCGATCCAATCCAATTTCGGCTGGCGGCCTCCTCTGTTGCTTCTCTTTGCAGACTTGTGAATTTTGGCCCAGTTTGTCGTGTCAATTCTGAGTTCTTGGCCCATTCATGCATAAGCCTGGTTCTCGACATCTCTTATTGATTTATCGTTGGTGTTGATGTCGATTCTCCTCCACTTTATGATCATTCTCTGCAAAAGGTTAGTAAACCTAACACTAGTGGAATATTATTATTCTAACAAATATATGCATTGAAAGCATCACTAGTTCTCTCCTGTTTTAGTAATATTGACGGTCGAAACTGATCGATAACGACCGTCAATAATGATTATATTCTGATAAAAGAAAAACATATGTTTCAAACAATACAAATTTATTGTTTCATACGCGATAGCAATATGTTTCACCATGTGTTCTCATTGTGTTTCACAAAATTTCTAAATGTTTCAGAGGCTAATATTTCTGTTTCACCATGTATAACTTAATGTTGCACCAACGGTCAACTGAAACATTTGACCGTCCGATGTTTTTACACCATCGGACGTCCGATCTATATCTCTCCTTGTAACGCATGAGCCTATAACTACTTCCTCCGTTTTATAATTTTATAATGTAAATCATTTTAACATTTCACACATTCATATTAATATTAATGAATCTATATATATATGTATATATGTATATATATATATATATATATATATATATATGTATATATATATATATATGTATATATATATAGAGAGAATGTAAGTCATTCTAGCATGACTTACATTATGAAATGGAGGGAGTAGTATATTAAAAAACAAAGGTAGTTCTTTTCTTATCTCCAGCACATCTATAAATAACAGGTCTCCCCTCCTTGAAAGTACTCATCGGGTCATCACCTTCTCCTGATTCCTAAACCCTACACACTTGTAGTAACTTGCTTTGAAGTAAAAAAAAAATGGTGTCCTTCTACCTCGACTCCACCTTCCTGCCTCTCCTCGCCACCACCATGGCCAGCCCACTCCACGCCTGCCTCCTCCTCGCCCTCCTCTTCCTCGCGCTCGCCTTCTTCCACCCCGGCGGCGTCGCGTGGGCGCTGTCGTCGTCCGGCGGCCACGGCGCCGCCGCCATCCCTGGCCCGCGGGGAGTCCTGCTCGCGTTCGCCGGCCCGAACCCGCACCGCGCGCTGGCCAGCCTCGCCGCGTCGACGCGCGGGGCCACGCGCCTCATGGCGTTCTCCGTCGGGCTCACCCAGTTCGTGGTGGCGAGCCACCCGGACACGGCGCGGGAGATCCTCGCCGGCGCCGCGTTCGCCGACCGCCCCGTGAAGGAGGCCGCCGCGGAGCTCATGTTCCACCGCGCCATGGGGTTCGCCCCGCACGGCGGGTACTGGCGCCGGCTGCGCCGCCTGGCGTCCGCGCACGCGCTCGCCCCGGGGAGGCTCGCGGCCCGCCGCAGGGCGATCGGCGAGGAGACGGTGCGGCGCGTGGCGGCCGCCATGGCGCGCGACGGCGCCGTCGGCGTGAGGCGGCTGCTGCACCTGGCGAGCCTGGACAATGTCATGGCGAGCGTGTTCGGGGTCGGCCTCGGCGAGCTCGGCGCGGGCGCCGTGTCGGAGCTGGAGGAGATGGTGGGGCAAGGGTACGAGCTGCTCGGCACCTTCAACTGGGGCGACCACCTGCCTCTGCTGCGCCTCCTCGACGTCCATGGCGTCAGGAGGAAGAGCAGGGCGCTGGCGTCTAGGGTTAAGGTGTTCGTCTCCAAGATCATAGAGGAGCACAAGACGAGGAGAGATGCCAAGTACGGCGGCTGCGACGGCGACGGCGATTTCGTGGACGTCTTGTTGGGGCTGGAAGGAGAGGAGAGGCTGGAGGAGGAAGACATGGTCGCCGTCCTATGGGTAAGTACACTGATTTAATTACCATGTGTTTGTATGCATGGCACGTACTTTAGCAAAGCTTAGTACTCCAATAAGATTCAGTTAGTAAGATTTTAGATTTAAACAAAGAAATTTCTTGCTAGGATTTTCTTGTTTCTTGTAAAAAAAGCTCTTACTGTCATGTAGACATGTTGTAAGGAAAAATAATATGGAAAAAATGTTTTCATCTCTCGAGGAAACATCCATCATTTCTAGATATCACCTAAATAGTTATAAAAAAATTAAAAAATTTACAAAATACATTAATATGAGATATATCATTCCACAAATATACAAGTTTAAATTCGACTACTATAAGTTATAACAAAATAATAAAATAATATATGTATACTAGTTTTAGGTGACATACAAGAAACAAGGATATCGTCTGTAAAGTGATGAAAATCCATCTCCAATTTAAAAGAGAAATCAATTAATAATTTCTAAGTTATGTTAATACTTTACCCTGCAAGTTGGTTATAAAAATTTACAATAAATCCGCAGGGGGCCAATGTCCAAAACATCACTTTTTTTTACTCCTAGTTGACTAGGAGCTAGCTACCCACATATACACAGGACATGCATATGAGCTAGCCACAAATAAGCTGCATACGTACGTTTTAATATAAGTAATAAAACAATATGCCTGGTCAAGTAGTCAACTTATAGTCGTGCATATATAGTACCTTTCTTCTTGTAGTCTACACATCGGCAAGACCATATAGTTTTTTTTTTTCTGAACTTGATGTGATGGGCCACATATTAACCCTTTTTTTTTGCGGGAATATTAATCCTTTTTATTATTAATATTTTTTGTGCGCCTGAGTCACTGTCAATGAGTGAGTGTGCATGATCTCGTCAGTATCTTGTTCATGTGGTCATTTTTCTGGAATCTGCGATACAACATAAGGTCACTGTCCCTTAATGGATGAGCTCAAACTAGCTAAGCTCTCACTACACGATTAATTTACATAAATTAAATTGCATGTGTCCGGTTGATTGAAGCAAATTGTTTTAGATGACATTAACGTAAGAGTATATTTATTACGTACTGATCATGACATGCATGTATGATTTTGACTTACATATACTAATCTGAGCCGTCTGATTTTTTTTCTTGTTCACTAATTAATTAGTTAACTAGACTTGCATATCGTATACACTAGGGCCAATTCCCTACATGCCCATGTAATTTCACCTAATCTCTTCTACGCTTCTTAAATTTATTTGATCTCTTATATACCCCTGAGTTTTTATATATTTGGATCCCTTACATACCCATTCTGTTAATTTACCATTAGTTTGACCGTTAGTTATCGTAGAAATTACTTTATTGTCCTTGGTATATTGTTAAAAGCTAGAAATGTTTTATGTGTAAATTATTTGATTTGTGAAAACCAATAAGGAATAAATTACTAAATATTTGTTATGAATTTTTAAAAATAAAACATTATTTCATTAAAATAAAAAAGATTTATTGTAAAAAAAGTTCTGCATAAAATTTGAAAATTATTTTTCAACAAATATTTAGTGAAAAAAGATTCGTTGTGAAAAAACAAAGGGGATATAATTAGTTTATCACAAATTAGAAAACAAATTTAAAATTTTTAAATAAATTTCAGATCAAATTTGATGAATTTCGTATATCTTCCCAAAAATTTAAACCTAAATATCATTTAGTTTTTGCTCTTAATTTTCTAGTGAAACTAATGTATAGATTTAATCATAATTTTTAAAAAATAAAAAATAATAAGTTTTATTTTTTAAGTTGGGCATTAAATGATTATATTGCTAGTATTTTGTATAAGTTAATTTTTTCATATGAAAATTTATTGGGTAGGTACCACATATGTATAGGATGGGTAATATAATCATTTTAAAATATTTAACGGTCAACTAATGGTCAACTAACGGAGATGGATATAGAGGAGATCAAAATGAAAACTTAGGGGTATATAAGGGATGATGTCAAATTCAGGGATATCGAAGGGATTGAGTAAATTTTCAGGGGTATATAGGGAATTTTCTCTATACACTACTCACTCCGACCATAAGTATTTAACACTGTTGATTTTTACCCAGAGTTCAAAATTATAAAATGAAAGCAAAAACTATTTAAGTTTGATCAAAGTTTGCTCAAAATTTTAAATTATTTTGGACCGCAATATTTCAAAGTATCGAAAATTTTGTCCATATCGCAGTGCCCCTGATATATTAAAACATACTTTCAACATGAAGTTTGACTATTCATTTTATTAAAACATATATGTAAATATCATTTATTTTATGGTATTTCAAGGTGACTTATATTTTTTACATATTTATTCTAAATTTTAAAATAAAATGAATATTCAAACTTTACGGTGAAAGTCAAATGTGACAACTATTATCAAGTACTCGCTCCATTCCATATTATATGTCGTTTTGATTTTTTTTCCTAATCAACCTTATATATGTTTTATTATATTTATATAAAAGTATAGTAGCAAATCTATTCTACACCCCTCCCCTAAAATAACTATTCTACACACCCCCCCTCCCATGGGTCAAACCCACCTCCCCCACCCTCCCAAGGGCCCAAAACCCTCTTCCCACCTCGGTCAAAGCGTCCTCCCGCTAATCAAACCCGCCCACCACTCCCTCCCCCGTCAACCACTTTGTTGTTCTCGTCTTGCAGGAATCGTGGAGTAACAGGACGGTCATCGGGTAGTAACAAGACAATTTTCTTGCAGTAACAACTTCAAAAGATTGTCATGATGGATCTAGTTTCGTTAAGCGTTTTTTATGAACGTCGTGGTGCAAACGGATTAGAAAAACAAGATATGATATGAGAGATATTGCTCTCTAAAGATCGAGATGTACCTCTTTTTAGTCCTCGTCTTACTGGAACATCGTAGTAACGCAACAGCCAATCTATAGTAACACGACTGCTTTCTGCAGTAACGACGTTAAAAAATAGTTATGATGGTTCTAATTTACGAACGCCATGATACAAATGGGTTAGAAAAATAAGACATGACGTATACGTTCCTACTTTCTAAAGATTGAGATTTAAAATATTTTAACTCTACAAAAAAATTACTACTGTAGTGCCACTGTTAGTATGCATATTCTCTGTTACTTCAATTTTTGTCATGTTGTTACTGCCAAAAGTGCAGTAACAACCTATTAATTTTGCAGTAACGTATCATGTTACTACCCTTCTATGATAATATTATTGTTGAATTATAGTAACAAGGTATAATTCTTGCAGTAATATAAATGATTTGTTCTCACACAATTTGAACACACATGCAAAACATACAAACAATGTTTTTTACTCACATAACATCATATGGTGAACTGGATAGGAGAACTTGCCACGAACTATAAGATCATGAGTTCAAGTCTTGATTTCACCAATTTATTTTTAATTTTTCTAAAAAAAGAAAAGAACAAGAGGAAAAATATCAATTTATTTTTAATTTTTCAAAAAAAAGAGAAAAGAACGAGAGGAAAAATGATAGATGGGAGGGCGAGAAAAAAAGAAGAAAAAGAAAAAAAAGTAGAAGAGGAGGGCACCGGGAGGAGAAAAAAACGAAAAAAAAGGGGAAGGAGGGAGAGGGATCGGGGCTGAGAGAGAAAAAAACGAAAAAAAGGAAGGAAGGAGGGAGAGGGATCAGGATGAGGGAGAGAAAAACGGAGGGGGGAAGGAGGGAGAGGGATTGGGGCTGAGGGAGAAAAAAAGAAAGGAAGGAGGGAGAGAAAAACGGAGGGGGAGAGGGGGTCGGTTGGAAGGAGAGAAGAGGAAGGGTGCGCGACACGAGAGGGAGGAGGAGGGCCGCGCGCGCGAGTGGGGATCGGGAGGACTGAGGAGGGCCACGCGCGGGGAGGGTCCAAAGTATAGTACCATTTTTAAACCAAAACAAAAATATTACCAACATATATTTAATGCTACATTTAATAAAACTAATTTGGTGTGTTAGATGTTAATTTTTTTATAAATTGATCGAACTTAAAAAAGTTTTGATCATGAAAAACAAGCTAAAACAACTTATATATAATATAAAATGGAGAAAAAATTTGAAAGCAATTTTATACTCCCTCCGTTTTACAATGTCAGTCATTTTATCATTTTTCACATTTATATTCATGTTAATGAATCTAGACATATATATATATATATATATATATATATATATATATATATATATATATATATATATATATATATATATATATATATATATATATATATATATATATATTTTAAGAATGACTTACATTATGAAATGGAGGAAATATATAAGGAGAAACGGAGAGAGTATTTATAAGCGGAGAATTTATTAATTTGTTATATGTTGGGTGGTGTCAGGAGATGATCTTCCGTGGCACAGACACGGTGGCCATCCTGCTGGAGTGGGTGCTGGCGCGGATGGCGCTGCACCCGGACGTCCAGTCCAAGGCGCAGGCCGAGATCGACGCCGCCGCGGTGAGCGGCGACGCGGCGGCGCTCCCGTACCTGCACTGCGTCGTCAAGGAGTGCCTGCGGATGCACCCGCCGGGCCCGCTGCTGTCGTGGGCGCGCCTCGCCACGCGGGACGCCCACCTCGACCTCGGCGCCGACGCCGGCGGCCGCGCCGCCCTGGTGCCCGCCGGCACGACGGCGGTGGTGAACATGTGGGCCATCGCCCGCGACGGCGGGCTGTGGCGCGACCCGGGCGTGTTCCGGCCGGAGAGGTTCCTCGGCGACGGCGAGGCCGCCGGCGTGGGCGTGGCGGGCGGCGCCGGCGGCTACGACCTCCGGCTGGCGCCGTTCGGGGCCGGCCGGAGGGCGTGCCCCGGCAGGGCGCTGGCCATGGCCACCGTCCACCTCTGGCTGGCGCAGCTTCTCCGGAGCTTCAGGTGGGTCCCGTCCGGCGACCGCGGCGTCGACATGAGCGAGCGCCTCGGCATGTCCCTCGAAATGGAGAAGCCATTGATCTGCCTCGCGCTTCCAAGGACCTCGTCTACCTAGCTACACACACAAGCTGCTACCAACTTTGCTAAGACCTCTACTTGGAATCTTGTAGATTATATCTGTTAATTATGTATAATTAAGCTTCCGTAAAAAAATATATGTACTCCCTTTGTTTCACAATATAAGTCATTCTAGCATTTTCCACATTCATATTAATGCTAATGATTCATTAGCATTAATATGAATGTGAAAAATACTAGAATGACTTACATTATGAAACGGAGGAAGTATAATAATTAAGCATACGCATGTTCTAACCTATAGATCAATTTTCATGTGGGTGCTTGGTTAGAACTTGAAATAATCCCAAGGTTTTGTAGCCTGTTCTTTATATAGGGGTTTTTTTTTTTCATGCTCTCGTGATGCAAGTATGGGGTGTGGTTTGTTCTCTGGGAGACATGAGACGCTAATAAGATGATTATTGTACTTTTTTAAAAAAATGGCTGTGGACCATATGTCATATATTTGTTTTTTGGGATTATAGTTGCAATGTACCTTTACATGTTGGAGATTTATGTTTATGTTCCATTCTTTTTTTTCAATTTGCCACTTCTTTGATAAGCCAATCGACTATTTGCCACTTTTCATCTCATATGACCATGAGACCATCCCACACTTTCTTCTCACCCCTATAGTATGACAAACAAATATTTCTTCCTCCTCCGATACTTATTTACCCCTAAAGTGGACTCGGCCCTTTATTTGCCCCTAATTCTATATACCTATACAATCAATCCCCACTATATGTAGTCAATAGGATTTTGCAACCTTCTCATGCTTCCGCATCATCCTAATTGTTCTTCGATCTCCATCCTATGACAGGCAAGCTGTCTAGGCAATACTAGGAATGGCGAGAAGCTCCCACGTCTTCATCTAATAGGCCAAATCAAAGACTAGCCCAACTCATCCGACCTACTGCCTAATGGATTTGGATTGGATGGCCAGATCCGGCCTTCCTCATCTCTGACTACGGCCTCCCCTGCCAGCTGTTCCCTAGTCATGACTCCTCGCCAACTGTCGGAGCCGTGCCGCCCGCTGCCAACCCCCCATGGACGCTTGCTGCTCCACCTCGCGCTGGTCTTCGTCACCTCCCCTTCCCAACCTTCGTCGCCCCTCTCCACGTTTGATGTGGACGGGATGAAGCGAACATGTGCCTTGCTACCGTCGTCCTTGGTCGCCACTCAGTTTTCGGTGGTTCTCTCAAGCGGTGGCGGGGTGGAGGTAGGAGGAAGGGTGTCGGCGGTGCTAGGGTGTTGGGCGCCGCTCGTGTCACCCATGCGGGAGCGACGCGAGGGCCTCTCAGTATAGCGATTGACTAGGGGATGTCAATGTCCCACCTGGTGCCACTTGCACCGGCAAAAAACATTACCACTAGGATCATAACATTTGGAGTGAACTAAATACGGAGAGATATCACTATTACCGCTACGTGTGACCGGACTCCCTGTATTTATAGCGCTTTGGGAGTTAGGGGCGATTCCAAATAGGATTTGAGCTTCTCTGATTGTTCGCAACGAGCGTGCGTGGATGGCAGGGTAGACCGTACGTGTTCCCCATGCGACTAGGTTAGCTATCGATTACTACAAGAAGAACCCAAAAAAAAGTTGGTGAATCAATAGGGAAGTCAACTAAAAAAACTCCCAATAAATAACGATTGTCCCCTAAAGTACTAAAATTATTTTCTGGTAATATGTTGTTTTGTGACCTATACATAAGACGTAATGATATAGGCTCATGACACACCGTTCGGAGAGAGGCTTGATGTTTGTTGTTAGAAACGACAACCGCATACGTCGAAAGACGTGGTTACTCAACAGTGGTTAAGAAAAAGTAAAGTATATTGATTAGAGAATTTTTCTTGGGATCCCCCTATTACCTGGCCCTATGGGACTATTTATAGCCCCTGTTACATGTTCTTACTATTAGGGTTTTGGTTATACAGGGAAATTTACATGGTTATCCTTATGAAAGGGACATTTACATGGGTACATAGTGTAACAGAGGTTCATGGACTCCTGATGGGCCGTTAGGCGATCGTCGGCCTAATGGCCCCTATGCTTGATAGGCCGAAAAAGGCTTCTTCGGCCCTCGCGGGGGCGAGCTTGCTTTGGTGAAGTCGTCTCCCTTCAGCATATACTCTTCGCCCTGCATCCTTCGCCCAAGAGGCCTCTGGCTTGGCAGAGTACCCGCACGATCCTCCGCCTCTCGCCGTCCTTGTTCCATAGTCTTCGCCAGGGGGGGGGGGCTTCGCCCCGACTAACTTTGGCGTCTCGGGCTTGGATCCCCACTCCTCGCATAGCCTTCGGCAGATTTTGGTCGAAGGGCCTCATACCATACCGCCAACAAGCCCCTCATGGGCAAGGGTGAGATTGGAGCTTCGGCCGAGACCGTGCAAACCATGTGGTATGTGGTATGGTATGTGGCGCCCCCTTTCGACCGATGCTCCTGCCGAAACCTACATTGTTCCTGCAAATAAAGTTTGTTGTCTGTGCGGCTGGTATTGCTTTGCCGCTCTTCGCCTCCTGCGGACGGTGATATATATTTTTTTTATTTTTTTACCGGGCCAAAAGGAACAGTAATGGGCCTTCCCTTTGTGGGCTTTTTACTGTGCAGCTTGGTCGATAGGAATCTACCATTTCGCCTACCCTCGCGACACGTGGTGCTTTATTACTGGTGGGTAGGCGAACCGTCGCCTTGTTGGGCTATATATGCTCCCCCGTTATCTTTTCACCGCTAGACTTGCCACTTTCACCGCCCGCGTTCTCTTCCTCCGTTCTTGCTTTCACGGCCCCCCTTGGCCCTTTAGATTTCTCGCTCACTCCCCTTGTTCGCCACTGCACACACCCTTCGCGACTTCATACGTCCATCGTCATGGCTCCCCGCAAGCCTAACCCCTCTTCGGCGAAAGGGCCCGACCCCGGCCGGATTGACGACGACACCACTGCCTATTTGGGGATTTCTCTCATAGACGACGGCGAGCTGGCAAAGTTGGTCAGCTCTAGGGCGTTAGTCGAGGGACAGGCTTTCACCCCGGGGAAAGCCGTTGTACCGAAACTCGTCGACAACCGGACAGTGGTGTTCGCCGTGTTTTTTTGAGACGGGGCTCCGGTTTCCGTGCAACGCGTTGTTGCCGGAGATTCTTCGCCTTTTCCAGGTGGAGCTCCCGCAGTTGAGCCCGTCGGCGCTGGTCTAGATTGCTATCTTTGACTGGGCGTGCCGGACTTTGGGGTTTGAGCCAAGCGCCGAACTCTTTGGCGCCATATTCTTCACCACCGTGAATTCGAAGACGATGATTACCCCAGCTGGAACGAAGAAGACAGTGTTCGGGAGCGTAAACTTTAATGTTCGCCCCGAGCGGTCCGATCTCTGGCCGGTGAACGCCGCCATGTCGAAGTGGGGCCGCCATTGGATGGCGAGGTGGTTTTACCACACTATCCCCTTCGAGGCTGGTTCTGACTCCGCAAAAGCCCTTCGGTGCCGGTGTAGGGCGATTGAGCCGAACCGAAAGCCCAAGATCGCCGTGGACGGCGCTATGGAGGCGCGGTTCGCTCTACTGCGTAAGGTCTGCTCTCGCCTTAGCTGCCGCGACTTGGTGGAGGAATTTTGCATGCTTCACATCTTTCCCCTCTCCCAGTCGTGGCAAGTCACAGTTGAGCAAGGCGAAGAGGTTGATGGTTTGCCGAAGTTGGTTCTCCCTGAAAGAACGAACGGTAAGACTGCTCTTTCACAATGCAGTCCTGCGCTTTGTTATTTTGCTTTGTTCGACGCTTAATGTGGCTACACCCTTTATTTTTGTAGTGTTGACCCTTGACCAGGCTGACGCCGAAGCCCGTAGGATGATCGGCGACGTGTCGGTCGTCGAGTATAGCCAGCTGCTAACGCGACAAGCGGCTGGCCGGGCGAACCGGGTTTACAACGGTGAATTGCCTCCCCGGGCGAACCCCCACAAGGCCGACGACGATGCAGGACCTTCACGAAAGCGAACGCGCGGACAAGTAAAGCTTGCGCCCAGGAAGCGAAGGGTTCCTGTTTCGTTCGATTCCGACGCTAACGACGAGGACGACGTTGAAGAGCGTGACGGCGAGGAGGAAGGGGAGGAAGAGGAGGAGGTTGAGGTCGTGGTCGAAAAGGCCGCGGACGAGGCGGTCGAAAACCGCGTCGACACCCCTGGCTATACTCCTACTCCAAGCCCGGGTCACAATGAGACCGGGGTGGAGTCGAATAGCTCCCCCCTTCATCGAAAGGAGTTGGATGGGGCGAAGGCGCTAATTGCGTTTTCGACAGGCAAGGCGGCGAAGGGAGGTCCGGTCAAAAATATTTCCAAGAAGAAAGGACTCGTCGATGTCGCTCGCGTCTTCAGCGACGACGAGTCTTCTGACGAGACTCCGACTTCGCCCGCTGCCCGCAGCCTAGACCTTTCGACCGTCCCCGTTCTTTCACTTGGCGCTGATGGAGTAGGCGGTAGCGCCGCCGCCGGGGCTTCAGCCTCCACGGAACGGATCGTGACAGCTGCGGCGAGGGTCTTCGGTAGCCCTCTGCGTCAGCCGGTTGTTTCGCCGCTAGTCAAGGCGAAGGGGAAGGGTGCGGCCGTCGAAATATCTGCTTCGGAGTATTCCCTTGCGGCGCCCCATTTCGCCCCTAGCGATTTCGAGACCCGGGTAGACCTTATTCCCTTTGTCGAGGGAGTAAGCAATCTTGTCTTACCTGCCAGCACCCCGAGCCTATTCACCGAACTGAATGAGTTCGATGAGAGGTGTTCTGCTATTAAAAGCTTAGCGGTTCGGGTATGCTTTTTCTCTATTCTTGGTTTTCCTCTTCTTTTTTACATGTCCCATAATTAACATTTGCTCTCTTCGCCATTCCTATTTTGCATCCAGATTCTTGCAGCTCACTGTTCGACAGAGCGAACCGTGCAGGCTTGTCTTGACGGATTTAAGAACCGTCTTCGGGCCATGGATGACGAAATAGGCCGCAAGAACTTGGAGATGGAGGCCCTCACCAACACCCTGAAAGAGGCGAAAGCCGAAAACAAGCGGCTCCAATTCGAGTTGGAGAAAGGAAGAGAGGCTAGGGCCGAGGTCGATCGCCTCAAGGCCGAACTGGAGAAAGGGAGAGAAGCCATAGCTGAGGTTGATCGCCTCCAGGCCGAATTAAGGAAAGAAAAGGCCCATTCCGCCGTGCTGACGGATTATTATAACCTTACTGAGCCGAAGATGGAGGCTCTTCGCCTGGAGGTCAGCAAGGCCGAAGCGAGCGCTGTGGAGTCGCAGCGGTTTTCGCGGGAGATGGTGAAAACTACCGAATCCGCAAGAACGGCGTGCCAAACGCTTCGCCTCGCCCTTACTGACATGGGTGCAAAAGTGCGAGGGGTCCCTACCGAAGATGCCTCGGCCTTCGACTTCTCCGAGTGGACCCAGCAGGCTGGTGGTTCGGTTTCGGACTGCGCCACTACGTACGGTGATTGCTGTGCGCGTGTATCAG